TGTTCCTCTTATTTTAAGTCTGATAAATTCTTACAGATTTTTGTTAGTAAATTTTTAACTTTTTTTGGTGAAAATACAATATTTATGGTGTCAACAACAAAAGAAAGTTTACACTGTTTTAGAATTAATTTTTTTAAAAATTTGGTTTCAGAAAATTGGTAAAGAAAATTTTTGTTTGTTTTGTTTGTTTGCAGTACTGAGGATGAAACCCAGGGTCTTGTGCAAGAACAAAAGAACTTTACCCTGAGCTACATCATGACAGAATATTTTACTACAATAAAACAATCAGTAAAATATTAAAATTGAGAGTAAGAATAAATTTTAATTGTTAATCAATTCTGTTGTAAAAATGTTATCTTTGATTACTGAATAGTATCAGAACAGAATTCCCAGTTCATCGATTCACAAATTTCTTATATTAGAATCAGATAGATTATTTGAATATAGGAATAATAAAGTTGTAGGTAGGATCAAGATGCCAACATTTTGGCATTATTCCTTTTGGCTGTAACATAGAAAATCCAATGGAAAATTCAGATGCAAAGTCCTCTTGTTTTTATTTTCCTTCTGAGTGACAGTTTAGACAATCATTGTACTGATTCAGCAAAATGAAGGCGTTATTTATGTGTCATTAAGCATAGAGGTTTTGTGGGTATTATAATCATTCATTATAAATAAGTGAATATGGAAACTAAAATTTCTGTGACGAGTAATTGTATGTGTTAACTTCATTGTGCCACAAGTTGCTCAGATATCTGGTTAACCATTAATTCTGAGTAAGTCTGTGGAGGATATTTTAGGAAAAGATGAGATTTGAATCACACACTGAGTAAATTATATTACCCTCCTTGATGTGAATGGACATTACCCAAGCTGGTAAGGGTTTAAATAAAACAAAAAGGTGAGAAAAAGATGGACGAATACAAATTCATCCCTCTCTTCTTAATTAAGATGTGATGTCAGTCTCCTGTCCTGGATGATACAGGTTCTCAAACTCAGACTGGGCAGACTAAGATATTCTGTCATTAGTCTGCCTTTCAAACTCAGACTGGGACCTAAACCATTTGCTTTCTGGATTTAAAATTTTCAAGTACACCACAGGTTATTGTTGGTCTGAAAGTTGCAGATAGAAAACGGTGGGCTTTCTTAGCGTACATAATTGTATGAGCCAGTAATTCTCTCTCTCTCTCTCTTTCTCTCTCTCTCTCTCTCTCTCTCTCTGTTTCAGTCTATCTCATACATGTGCCTTTGTACACACACACATTCATCGTTTTCTATTGAAACTTTTTCCATCTTAATTCTGAAATTAAAATGCATATTTAAATTTGGCCCGAGCTGAATTTACTAAGTAGCTTAGAAAACTGGTGGCAAATCTATGGCACGGTACCAGAGTGGGTTATTTGTTATCACTGAAAGCTCTAAAGGCTTAGAAGATGTTTTAGGTACAGATTGGAGGCATATTTGAAATATTTAATTCAGTTCAGTTAAAAGCCCGAATCTCTTTTAATCTAGAAATATATGGGAAAAGAAAACCCGTTGGTAACAAGATTTTATCATAACACTTGAGATTCTGGTTTTAATTCACTCTGATAGGGAGTAGGTGGCCAGAAATATGTCATTTACTACTATTGTATGTTCCTTCATTAGTTGATGAGATAAAGAACATTTTCTCCGACATGAGTGTCTGAAGCTCATTTATGTCAGAAAAATATTATTCTTTATTTAGGTGTTGACGAAGTGTGGGAGACTGCTATCACTTCCCCAGGCTGATATCTCCTCTATTTTCCGTCCGAATTGGTTTCCTTGTGGTTAGAGAAAGGTCACCATGCCCCAGATAATACTTATGCAGAAAAGCTGCAATTTGATGAACCCGCTGGCACATCAAACAGTGAGACAGCCTAGTGTTTTCTTGCTTTTTCAGTGGCTCAGATTAAAACCATAACAGACCTCTGAGATTTATTCTGATGAATTACTTTTTAAAGATGAACCCTTCAGGCTTGGCTTACTTATTGCCTGCAAGAAAAATTTAAGAGAAAATGTTGCTGATTCTGAAAGAGTTTGGGAGAGTGAATTTCCTTTTCATACTGATAGAGCTCATTTATTTTTGTTCAAGTTGAAAACTTATTAGTCTGCCTCATAGTGGAGTAGCCTTTTAACTTCAACCCAAATCCATAGATTGGTTTCTGATTTGCTGGAGGCTCTCAATTTGCCGTGGAAATTACCTTTAGCAAAAGTTTCAAAGCCCAAGAGTATAAGCTCTTGGCAAAATTGAAAGAACATGTAAAAATGCCCCTGGTGCTTTTGGGCTTATTAACAGAGAATTCTAAATATGCTTTAACAAATAATACTGTAGGAAATGCTAAACTCGTAAGCCTACAAGCTTTTCTCTTTCTACTTAATAAAGTACGTGTTTTATTGAGCAATTGCTATACAACATAACATAAAGGATCATGAATATTTTTCTCACCAAATCTTCACATCAGTCCTAAGAGGCAGATACTGTTATTGTACCATTTTGAAGGGAAGCCAACTGAGGAATAAAATGTGACATACTTTATCTAGCAAAAGCAAATTCATGGTCAAGAATATAAATGGCAGTCAAAATCTGAATGGAAGAGTATCTGCCCCTAAGACCTGTGAGCTTAGTGATTTCATTCTATTTTAAAACATTAACATATATCTTCTCCAACAATTGCTACTTCTGTATAATGTTTCTCCTGTGATAAGCTCCATTATACTCTGATAGTTTGCTTTGGTTTATAAAAGTATGTCATCAACTTTGCTAAGTTTTGAAATAACAAATTTCCTCTAAGCTAAGGAGTTAATGATCTAATCACATCTGATATATTTCTTGACTGAATTTCTTGTACTTCTTTTAAGTCCCTTTTGTTTTCAGGCAGAGTTGGAACCTAATGTTGTAGATATAAGATGCTTGTGTTTTCCCAGGACTCAATCATTCCCAGTGACCCTTTCTCTTCCAGTGTTGACCAGGTCTGGAGTTATGCTAAGTTTTTCTCTTCATTGTAATAACTGCTCTAGTTACTCTTCATTTCAAATACTGAAATATCAAAGCATTCACAAGATCCTGCATAAATTTTGTGATGTGAATTTTTAAGACTAGATTCATTTTTCACACTATCATCTTTAGTGTTGGAGCTCTTCTTCCTGTGGGCAGACTGTTAAATGGTGACCACTAGCTGGTTTCTCTGTTGTTAATAGTTGTATTGTATTCCTCAGTGCTCCTTCACTGGATGCCCTTGAAAAAACATTTCTTAAGCATTTTATGAAAAAAACTGCTGAATCAGGGCCTCTTATACACAAAAGTAAAATATTAGACTTGTGTTCAAAGTTTACTGACTCTGCCCTATACTGTAAGAGTCAACTATTTCCTTTGATATGTTAAAGCGATTTGCTGAGTTTTCCTTGAGGTTGATGTCCTCCAATATGATTGCTCTTGCCATAGTTCTAGCTTTCAGCCCAGATTCCCTGAAGATTCATTATGCCTAGAGTACACGTAATGACATCTCCTGGCTCAGTTCTTCCATCCTTCTCTATGATACTTCCCACACATGCCATAAAACTGACCATTCTAATTGCTTGCCTTCATTTTATTTAAATATATTCTCTAGTGGTGTAGACTTTTATAGTTTATCAGCCATTACAGAAGAGACAATGTGGAAATGCTTAACAAGTCACTTCCTAAGTACTCACTGGAAGCAAAAGTCATAGGGAAAAGTGGTTGAAAGCTAAGACAAGAGGTGGCAGACTGCGCCCTACAGTGAAATGCAGCCTATACCTGGTTTTGTAAATTATATTTTACTGAAGCTCAGTTCTACTCATTTCATTCATGATATCTAGCGCTGTTTTTCTGCTACAGTAGCATGGAAAACTAAGTAGTTGTGACAAAGTTCTGTGGCTCACAAAGCCTTGATGTTTACAATGTTTACCTACAACTGTTGTAATCTCCCTAGGACGCACATAAGTAATAACAGTTGCTGGTTATCTTAAATGCTCTAATAACTACAAGAGCAAATTTAAGATGTATGTATAATTGTCCTTACTTTGTTCACATACTTATAACTTGAATAATGATAAGAGGCAATATGCTTCAGCTCATTTATAATTCTGAAATCTCTGACCATATTGGCTATCTGTGATCCCACATTATGCTTACCCTTTTTGCAGAGGAGATAATTAACTGATTCCTAATAATGTTGCATGAAATGGTCCAGCAGGAGTTTGGTATCACAGGAATAGTCAATGTGCTAGTGCCAAGTTATCAAGTAGCATCTGTACAATACTTTCTTTGGTTCTTTTTGACATTTTCTATTTTCACGTTTTTCCACTGATTTTATTTCCATGTAAAAAGGAATCTTCATTCAAAGTTTAATGTTTTTATTTTGATATTACCTTTTCTGTTTTCTAAGTATAAAACTTGTTGTGTGTTCTTAAAATGATGGATTTGCTCTTTTAAATCTGCTAAAGTATCTCTACTGAGCTCTCCAGGGGCTAAATCAACATTCTTATAATAATGATGCTATATTTGGATGTTCATTTTATGTTATCATGATCACAATAGTAAGTATCCTAATAAATTTTGAGAGTTCATGTGTCTATATTGCATATAGGAAATTCTGCATGTAGATTAATCCTTATAGTGTTTCAGTCAGTCTGGCAATAATGTCCCTGATTGTGATCATCATGAAAAACACATTACTAGGGAGGTTTTGTTGGTTCTTCAATACAGGTATAACATACGAAAGAGTTATGACTAGTTATATGTTTTAGGTATTTCTTATAATGGAGACTCCCTGTAAAAATAGTGTTTACATAAATATTTATACATGCACATATCTTCTACATATACATAGTTACACATGATAAGTCCACAGTAATTGTTCATTTCTGTGCAATTTTAATTCATGAATAAACTATTATCAAATATTATGAGGTATACATTATTGTATTGGAAGGAAAGTAATTACTAAATATATACTTACTCTCTTGAAAAGCATTTTACTGAGTAACAAACTCACACAAACCAGATTAAAACACAGAAATCAACGATCGTTAGTAGCATACAATTGTAGCTTATGGAAGGAAATGCAAGATGCAGCAGTGAAGGACCTGTCAGTCTCTCTGGGTCTCCTACTCTGGCTCTTCATTCCAGTAGTACATCCACTACCGGGTCCTTTACTTGGCATCTTTTTGAGCATCTACCTCCTTTATCCTTCTGCAGACAGCCTCCTCTGATCTATAAATGGCACAAAAAGCAGCTTACTTCAATCTCTTGCAACACTGACTAGAATTTCTGGATACAAATAGCAGATTTCCAGAAGAGAAAATTAGTGGGTTATCTTGAAGCAGACATTCTTTTCCATCTCATTCAACAGTCTGAGGTGTGTCATGACCTGGTAAGAGAACAAAATCTCAGACAGAGTGTAGCATAAGGAATGAATTTGAGAAGTCAGTTTGTTATATACAGACAAATTGACTTCTTTATTTCTGAATGCCTAGAAGGTGTAGTAATGTTCCTTAAAACTGGGTAGCAATACTTTTGACTACCCTCAAAGACTATTAGATGCCTCTTTACAAAAGGTGAAGAATCTACCAAGTATGATATTTCTAGATCTTCACTCTTTAGACAATATAGCTCCCTGGCAACACTCTCTTATTTCTATATTTGCTTGTAAAGCCAATAAAAATTGATCTGCAACAAAAAAATACATCATACTTTTTGGTGCTGAACATAGTCATAAAATTGCAAACTTCTTCTTTCCCTTCTGATCATACTGGAATATGCACCATAATAATTAGCCAGAGGGAACAGCAGGGATGAGATGGAGATTTTGTTATCCTCTCAAATACTCAAGTGAACTGGTTAGTTTTCCCAGGCCAGGTTCAAGGACACCTGGTAGCTGCATGGGCAGCATTTCAGGTTCTAATTTCCTTTTCTCATAAGTTTTTGCAGGTAAAGTACTGGATCTGAAAAAAAACCACATTAGCTACTATCAAGGCAATGTTTCCACAGAAGATGCACCAATAGAGATCCTCAAATAGCGTAGAGTAATGGACTCTTTTCCACACTAGCTTTTTTGATGCTAACAAGTCTTAAAATTTATAAGCCAAAAATAAAATTAATTCTCTTGAGTTAATGGCAGTTAAGATTTTTTTGTCCTTTCATTCATACTTAAGAAAATTTGTGGAAATTGAAGAAATGAGACAAATACTTCTTAAAAATTAATAAGAACTGGGAGAGAAAATGCATGCTTTTGGCCAGAGACTTCTACAGACATATCAAAAAGACACATTATTTCATGACTTCCCAGGGATGGAGAGTCTCACATTATTGTTTCAATTGCATTTATTCTGTCACATGATTCTACTTGGGCTCAACAGCTATTACTACAGGAGTTTGTCAGTATGGTATAAAAAAGGGCTGGGGATTTAGCTCAGTGGCATAAGCGCCTGCCTGGCAAATGCTAGGCTTTGCATTCAATCTCTGGTACAAAAAAAAAAAAAAAAAAGACAGTATAAAAGAATAGATGCAGGATATATGAACCTCAGAATGTACTATGGAATATAATTTCAAAAGCCACTATATAAATTTCTTCTGTGTTTACTTTTCTTTTTAATTAAATGCCAGGCACTAGTAACATTTGGCAGGTATGACTAAAACAGAAAGAGATATTTCATTAGCAATGACTAAAAGTGGCACATTATTTCAGTACCACCATTGTGCCCAACTGAAAGATAAACTTAGCAGGAAATTATCAATTCAGTCTATTTAGTCACTAGTTGCTGAGTTTGGCTGTACATAGCGATCACCTGATGTCTTCAGAAAGCCCCAATGCATATTCTACCCCAGGGATCCTTCCTTGTCTGTGGTGGCTTTTGGGCGTTTTGAATAAGCTTAACAAAATTTTAAAATTACTCTCATATTCACAGAAAACTTGCAAAGATAGTGCAGAAAGAGCCCGTATGCCTTTCACCCAGTTCACTTCTGATTAGTGTCTTACATTACTGTGATTCATATATCACAAGGAAGAGACTCGCACTGGTACCTTCCCATGAACTGAACTCTATTCGTATTCCATTTCCTTAGCTTTCCCTCTGCTGTCTATTTTTGGTTGCAGAATCCCAACCACAATGTACTAGCACATCTTGTCATTGTGTGTTCTTCAGTTCTGAAGTCTGTGACAGTCTCTTGGTTGTTTCTTAATGATCTTGGCAACTTAAAATAGTCCTGGCCAGGTATTTTGAAGAATGTTGCTGCATTTAGGTTTTCCAGATATTTTCTCTCTGGTGACACTGGAGTTATGGGTTTTTGGAACAAATACTACAGATATAAAGTGTCTTTGTCATTCATCAGGTAAGTGCCATGAACGAGACCCATCACTGAGGGTGCTAACCTTGATCATTTCCCTGAAGTATTGTTCTCCTTCATTGTCAAGCTATTTTCTGCCCCCTCTATGTCATCTTTCCATATTTTATTTTTGGCACCAAATTATTAAGGGATGTGAAGAGAAAGAGAGACAGGCATGCAGGATCACCTCCTGCAAGTGAGAATATTTACAAAAATTATTTGTTTCATAGGAAAGGTTTATCTCTTCTCTCACATTCATTTACTAATTTTTATTTTAAATAAACAGACTCATGAGTATTTATTTTATACCCAAATTTTCTTATTCATATTACTCCATCTCTGTCCATTGAGACTTCTTTTGGTTTGGTTTGTTAATATTTTAAAAGCTCCCCAGGTAATTTTAAAGTGCAGGCAGATTGGAACTCTAATTTTCGTAGAGTACTTCCGTGTTTCTCAAATCAAAAGCTTCTTTCTGATTTAGGTAGCTTCAATTCCTATATCTAGTCAGGTTTGAATTATTATTCACACCCATAAAACTGATCCTGGACCATGGATGGTGCTGTGCCTGAATCCTTAATTTGTCCTGAGTACATTGACCAGAAATAACATTAATGAAAGGTTTATCATCTTATTTTCATGCCTCAACTGGAAGGTGCTAGGTGGATTAGAGCAAAACTATCTGTAGGAGGAGTTCTCTTTTATGCAAAGCAAGTATAGGCACCACTTTAAATCCCCAGCATAGCTATGTTTTCTTCCCCATGGCAATTTTAGGATAGTGGTCAGGCACTTACTGCCTGTAGCAGAACAAAGCTGGCCTCACAAGTCTGGGCTATTGGAGAGCTGTGAATTAGCTTTTCAACACCTGAAGCATAAGTTAGAGAAAGTTAATGGCTCTGCTTTGAGAATAATAAGACAAGCCTGGGGTTAGATGTGGTTCCTTTCTTCACAGTAATTTTGAACACTTTAATAATTATTAATGCATCAATATTTATGTTATCACAAATAAAAAGGTACATTTGGGGGGACATGTTTAATTGTGTGTATATTCTAGTCACAATGAACCATGACTAGATAAAGTATTATGTCAGGAAAACTGTGATTTTGTTCAAGGCTTTCTAAATCAATACATATTGCCTGAAAGACATTAGACTACTTTTAAAGTGCTAGCCCTCCAACCCTACAGCTAAAATATAATGCTGATCTTAAACCACACATGCATTCCAGAGTAACGTTCTTGGCAACCTTATATTTTAAAGACTGATGTGTATCTCTGCTACCATCTAATTCAGTAAGTCAGTCAGAGTGCACCTGGCTCTACCTCAGTGCTGATTCTGTGTAATTGGGGGAAGGCCCCCAAATTTGCATATCTAAATTCCTAGGTAGTGATGTGATGATATTTTTCCCTGGGGATTATGCTTGGAGAAACCAGAACTCCCCAGTTGCAAATGAATACTTTGTGGATGAACTGCAAACCTGAATGAGTCTCTGGAAAGATTTGCTTGACCAGTATGATACATATCAAGACTGAAGCAAGGTACAGATTTTAGAATTTACCTGGTGGAAAGAAAAAAGGCTGAGTGTTTTGAGGGATATTAGTAAGAGTAGATGAAAACATAACCTAGAGAGTTGAGCCTGGCAACGAGGAAGAAATAGAGGATGACAGAAAGCTGATGAATGGTTAGGAAAACATGGAGTCACTTTCTATTCTTGGCTTTCCTGTGGTTAGAAAGAACAAATTCTCATTGCCAACAAGAGTCATAAGATTCCTCAATGTGGGAACTGTGACTTCCACATTGATGTCAGAGCTCTAGTTTGAATGTTACGCAAATGTTCAAGGCAAAAAAAGAATAGCAAGACTTTCATTTTGTGGGTGGGCGTAGAGAGAGGGCTGGAAAATCACTAACATCCTCACAGTCTAGGAGTTCCTTTAGCTACCAGAATGTTGTGAAGAACAGAAAAATCAGAAATGATAAAGCTTTCTTCTTTTCAGATTTACTTTCTTTGGTTTCAATGTTTTCATTTCTCTTGTCTCTTGTGCTAATTATCATCGACAAGGGCTCTGGCTGCTTTAGTTGCTTGCACAACACTGTGTAGCAAAAGATTAAAGGGTAATTGGATCAAAAATTTCACAGGAAAAACACCAACATGAAGCTGTTCTCTGTTGGATCCATCTCCAGGAGGAAGGCTGGGATTAAGTGAGCCACAAATAGAATATGATGATCTCAGCCAATGCTGTGGCACTTTTGCTAAGACAGTTACATAACAGGGAGGAGCTACTTTATTTGTGATGCAAGGTGGGGCTGGGGAGAATCTGACAATTGTCTTGATCATTATAAAAAGGTTAGATTTTTATGTGAGAGTCAGGGACATTTTAAGATCCTCCTAGGCCCAAAATGTTCTTTCCTTGGAGGCTCCAATTTCGTGATACCATAAATCACTTTAAATGTATAAGGGCCTGAGATTAAATCCAGTTTGCATGTTGGATTTTTGCAATTGCTTAGTTATTGTACATTTTATCTCTGCATTATTAAAATAGTTGTTACTTTTGGCCTTGCAAATTTTATCATTGGGTAGCTTGTACTATTTTTTCAGATTGCAAATACTTTCTTGGCCCTTTAAAAGTTCCTAAATCCTGGGTATTAGCAGGATATACTTACTAGTGGAGGAAGAAATTTGACGAAGGAGTAAAAGGCTTGATTCTTTGAGGAGATAACATAAGAGGAAGCCATGGCCTCTGACAACAGGTTCAAGTTCAAACTTTGTATGTATCCCCTGTGACCCAAGCAGAACTCTTTGTCTCCCTCTCTGTCTCATTCACGAGTGTCACCATTAATCCTGGTTTTTTTTCCTGCATTTAATAGAAACAGATAAACAATAGGAAAAGTACAATGAAGGAGTAACATTTATGAAGGACATAATAGGTTTCTATGGTAACAAATAGAAGGGGCAGGAAGTT